AAAAGAAGATTAAGAAAGAACATGGAACATGTAGTAAAATAGAAGGTAAGTTCAAATTTGCGATCTGATTTTCGTTAGAGTTTTTGTGAAATTAACTTTATAAAACGCAAAATTTTATGTTAAAAGATTTGAACAATATGCCAGTTCAAGACATGCTTGTACATTTACATAATGATATGTTTTCTCATATAAATCAAATATTGGTGAATGGTGGGCCTGCAAATCCCTCGAATGAAGAAGGGAATAATTAATTGGATGTCATCTCTTTAGTAAATAATGTAATGGGGGAAAATAATATGGACTTATAATAACTATTATAAAGAGTTGACAAGTTATGTGCTTGGTATAGAGACAATAGTATTGTGATTTAGTAGATAAAACGTTCTTAACGAGAACAATTAATAATTCAACACAGTATAATATAATCGGTTTGATTTTTATTCTAAAGAGAGAAGAAAGGAGGAGGAAGCTCGGGTATGTTTATTTTTAAATCTTTCGGAACAATAATATTCAAGAAAAGATATCAGGATATTTCTGTGCCTTTTCGATCACAGATTTATACAAGTTGAGGTCTGAAAATTTGAGAACATTAATAGAAATATAGATAAGGATTTAATAATTAGGAACGGTTAAAATTAAATAATTACCAAAGTTATCACTTAGTTGATATGTCATATGTTCTTTAATGGTTAAATCATCAGAAACACGTCCAACAACCTCAACGTATTTAAGTAGTGTTAATGTGGTAGTATCCTTTGATAAAAATATTGTTAGTAATGTAATTAATAAAATTTTGATGACAATAAAACAAGTAATTATTTTGTAACCTACCGGTCCTAAATGAACTGTAACTTGCCCTTGATCACAGGCTTCCAAAGTCGCAACGATATTCGATGTCTTTAAAATTTTATTTTTAAATGATTAATGAAATCCGTTATTATAAACTTGTTAGTCAAAAATATACCTGTAAAACGCGTCCGACACAACGAACGATTTGTCCACGATATTTTGTAAGAAGTGCAGAAGTAATTCTTGGCGATTGGGCTTCCATTTTACAAGTTATATTATATTATAAAAAAAAAAAAATGAATGATAGAAAATGAATTGAATAGTCGCGTTAGTTGAATAATAATCAGGGATGGTTTTTTTTTTTTTTTTAGTAGTTTGGCGATCTTATTTAAATAGATCACGAGTATAGATCCACAAAATCATACACATGGCCTTTTTTTAATACCTTTATTTGAAATATCGGAAATTTTTTTTTTAATAATGTCGTATACAAGACCAACAGCTAATAGATTTTTTGAAAAGATTCGTAGACTATTAACTGTAGTAAGTTTTAATTATTTTCTTCAATAATGATAAAGGCAATAAATAACAAGAAATCCGATATTTTGAAAAGAATCCGGAATCGAATACGGGTATTCCTATTACAGGAACCTATCGTACACCTGCTCCAGGGTAAAGTTATTTTTTATATATATATGATTCCATAAATTACGCATATAAAACACTAAAAAATTACCGTTATAGATCACAACCGAAAACTTATAAGCGGCCACTAACCAAGCATTCAGATTTGGCACAAAATTACTATTATGATCGAGATGCTAGACGTAATTTTCCTCGTTTAGCTGTGTACACTCAAAATGATGTTGCAAAACTTATTGCTGTTTCAAATGCGAAAAGGTTTGTACTTATAAAAATAATTATTTATATTGAGATTGTTTTCTAATTTTTTTTTTTTTAGTATCGCAGCAGAAGGATCTGATGAATCAACTCAGGTAGCAAATATTCCAGAAGACTTATCATTAACGGAAATAATTGCTTCTGCACCAACATTTTATTCTCCCGAAAAACTACCACCTCTTCCAGGACGTCCATTATATAAATGGAAAAATTCTGAAGATAGCATTGAACCTTATCCGGGTTTTGTACATTTATCAAGTTGAATTGAAAATTAACTAATTTATGATAATTTAATTAATCATTGTGCAAGAAAATGTAATCTCATAACTATACAATAGATATTTTATAAAACCATCATTTATTTTGTTGTTCAGCCCATTGTGCTGGTGTGTAAGTTTTCTTGAAAAAGAAAAAAGGATACATAAGTTTTTTGGTTTTATTTTTTTTTGTGGTAGATAAAATTTAAAATTTATTCCTTTTTACCTGTGAAAAAGCATGTAATTGTGCAATCTCGGCCTTTATAGCTTCATTTACCATTCGATGTTTCTGCAAGATAGTTTTACCTTCAAACACTGAAGAAACAATAATTACTTCATAACTTTGTCCACATCCGCCTTTAAAAGAAGACATTACTTAAAAATTATTAAGAACAACAAAATCATTAAATAAATCTATTAATGTGCTCACCAGGGGTGGTATCGATAACTTCTACATGTTCCGCCGAAAATTTTTCTTTTAATGTTTGTTCCAAGAGTTCTTTTGATACCATTTCTGAAAAAATTGAGAATTTTGAAAATGTATTATGTATTGAGAATTATAATTCTTTTTTATATACAAAAATTGGTTAGTACACGTGAGTGAAAAAATAACGTGATACAAGATGATAACCACATGATATAAATTTCTTAAAAAAAAAAAAGTTTTGAATTCCTTTTTTTTTTTTAACAAAAAGCAAAGCCTCAAAGGTGAATAGCTTTAACGAGTTGGAAAAGTACCTTTTATTTCTTGGTGAGTTTGTTGATGGGTGGAAATGTTCATAAAAAAGAAGTGATCTAAAGTAAAAGAAAACTACTTTTAACAGTTGAGAACTTTAAAAAAATTATTTGGATTAAAATAATTTTCATTAATTAATTTTTTTTTTTTTTCCTTTGATCTGTTTATTTTAAGTTCATCTTCTCGGATCTAAAGACAAAGTACTCTCCAAGTCCTGATTTGATTCGATTCGATTTTTTTTTTCTGATTCAAAAACAAAAAAAAAAAAAATTAAAAATCAAAATCAAAATTAAAAATAATAATAATCATCTTTTTCTAATCGAGTATATATATATACATATATATTTTTTTTTAAAAAATGTCGAGATTTTTTCGTGGTGGGTCAGATTCGGAAACTGATGATGAAATTATTTCATCAAATGAAGAATCATCAGAAGATGAGATTTCTGAAGAATTATCAGAAGATGAAACAGCAAAACCTGCTTCAGGCATTGCTGCTAAAAGTAGATTTCTTAAAGATGTATCCGATTCCGAAGAATCTGATTCAGATGAGAAAAGGGAAGTTAAATCTGCTAAAGATAAAAAATTAGATGCCCTTGAATTATCTGTTAAAACCATTGAAAATGCTAAAAAGATCAATGAATGGGTTGCTATTCAAAATGGTAAGTTAACAAATATCTTTTTAAGTTGTAATCTTTCCCTTTTTGTTTAAAGGAGAATTTAACAATTATATTTATCCGTCATTTATTTTATATTTAGAGTTCGAAAAATTAAATAAAATTGTTAGTAAACCTTTGGGAACATTTGGAATTCCTCGTATATATATTAAAACTATTGCTTCCCTTGAAGACTTTCTTAATGAATCCTTACAAAAAGAAAAAGAGGCAAAGAAAAAAATGAATGCAACTCAAGCTAAAGCTTTAAATTCCATGAAAAATAAAATTAAAAAAATTATTCGTCAATTTGAAGATGAAGTCGGAAAATGGAGACAGGTAACTGTCATTTTTACTTAATTAATACCCCTACGAATTTTCTAAAAAAATATATTTATCCATAGAATCCTATTCTTACGGAAGATGAAGAGATTGAGGATGATGAGGATTTGGGTGAATTCGTTAAATCCACCAAAAAGTCATCGATAAAAAAGAATAACGAGTTATATGCTACTGAATTTAATGATGAGGAAGGTTTTGAACAAGTTGGAAAGGGAAACAAACCTATTGAGTATACTTCTGAGAATTTATTCAAAAAGTTAAGAGAAATTATGGAAGCAAGAGGAAAAAAGAATACGGATCGTTTGGAACAAATAAAGATTCTCCAAAAACTCTTAGGTGTGGCTGCAACACCTTATCAAAAAATTCGAGTTCTACTTGCTTTGATACCTGCTCAATTCGATTATAATCCTAGTATGAGCAATTATATGAATGTTGATATGTGGAAAAAGTAAGAAATCCAAAGTTTAGTAATTTGACTGGATCTTAACCCTATCTAATAATTTATTTTGCGTTATTATTATTAAATTAAAGCACACAAGAGGAAATAAAGCAACTGTTAACAATTTTGGAGACGAACCCTCATTTCATAATTCGTGAATATGTGGAAGAGGAGGTCGAAGATAAGGAACCGGTTATAGAGTCAGGTCAAACGTTCGGCATACGTGGTTCCATTGTTTCCTTCATTGATCGTCTGGACGATGAGTTTATAAAGTCCTTACAAAATATCGATCCACATACTACTGATTATGTGGATAGATTGAAAGACGAAACTGAATTATATGCAACAATCGTAAGAGGGCAAATTCATTTCGAGAAAAACGAATTGAATGAGAGTACGAGTAGAGTGGTAATGAGAAGATTAGAACACTTATATTATAAAGTAAGCTCATTTAAGGCATCTTTTAATCATTTTATTTTGCTCCAAATTTTAACTGATGATAAGTATGTTATCTATACCATAGCCCGATCAAGTTATACAGACCGTTGAAAATACGGTCAATCAATTATACCCTTCGGGTGTTTCATCTTCGATAACTCCATCCGAAATAACGCAAGATTCATCAGTTCTTATTCGCGCTCTTTGTGTTTACCTTTATAAGAACGGAGAATCTTTACTTCGAACACGTGCAATGCTTTGTCATATTTATCATCATGCGTTGCACAATCGATTTTATACTGCACGTGATATGCTCCTAATGTCACATTTGCAAGATAATATTCAACTTAGTGATGTTGGTACCCAAATACTACATAACCGCACCATGGTACAAGTTGGACTTTGTGCTTTTCGTGAGGGAATGATTAAAGAATCTCAAAGTTGTTTACAAGAAATATGCGGCACTGGACGTGTGAAAGAATTATTGGCCCAAGTAAGTGTATAAAATTAATTTGAATATTTTAATGAATCAAACATGTTAAATTATTTATCACATGATTTTTTTTATAGGGTTTACAAATACAAAAATACTCACAACTTCCACCAGAACAAGAAAAGTTGGATCGTCAACGTCAATTGCCATTCCATATGCATATCAATTTAGAGTTACTTGAGTGTGCCTATTTAACCTGTTCTATGTTATTGGAAATACCTGCTATGGCAGCCGCTGGATCAAACCCTGAGGCTCGTAAAAAAGTAATTAGTAAACCATTTAGAAGAATGTTGGATTATAATGAGAGACAAGTATTTAGTGGTGAGTATTCAAGTTTATCAAATATTTATACAACTTATATTAATTATAAAAATTTTAATAGGACCACCTGAAAATACAAGGGATCACATTATGGGAGCAGCTAAAGCGCTTGCGGCCGGTGAATGGCAAAAATGCCAAGAACTTATTGGCGCAATAAAAATTTGGGATTTGATGCCCGAAACACAAAAAATCAAGGAAATGTTAAATAGAAAAATTCAAGAAGAAGGTCTTCGAACTTATCTGTTTACTTATTCTTCATATTATACAACATTTGGACTTGAACAATTGTCAACAATGTTCTCGTTACCGTTAAATACAGTTACATCTATTGTTTCAAAAATGATCTGGAATGAAGAATTAGCAGCTTCATTAGATCAAATTAACAATGTTGTTGTGTTGCATCGCGTTGAACCTACCAAAGTTCAACAATTATCTTTAATGTTTGCCGAAAAAGCCTTTTCATTTGTTGAGGCTAATGAAAGAACTTTGGAACAAAAACAACTTTCCGGACAAAATCAAAGAGATCAACAAAGACAAAAAGGTATTATAAAAGTTTGATATTTTTTAGACAAACCGAATAATATAAACTAAACGTGGGAAAATTTTCCTTATAGGTCAATTAAATCAACAGCAAAATACTGAAAAAAGAACCACGTATCAAAAAAGAGATGGACAGCAACAGAGAGGTCGAAATAATTTTAATAATGTGTTGGGTAATAGTGTACGTGGAAGAACACAACAAAACCGTTATCGATCATAAGATATTTAGGCATTTCCTTAATTCTGATATATATTTTTTAAAAAAAAATTTATTTTAAATGGATGAGGATAAAATAGTATATACTAATGAATGTATTATTATGTTATAAAATTGACATATTTTTTGCTTTAAATCATTTTTTACATATAAAAAAAGATAAAATTAATAACATTAATAAATTATATTCTTATTCATCTTATTCAATCTATTATTTTTTTGTCACACAAAAATAAATATCAAATCGTGTTTGATTTATTAACTTTTGCAAAGGAGAGGTTGAATGAGGCTGTAAAAGATTTAAGGCAGTTTAAGGAAGAACAAGGGAAAAGGTTAGCCGAGTTGTGGAGAAGTGGTGAGGAAAGTTATGCAGAGAGAGAGTTCTTAATCAAAGTGATGACGACGTTGGAAGCGGCAGTTGCGAAATGGGAAGACCAGTTGATATATTTACAAAAACAAAACGCCGAAGGTAGTAAACAAGGAAAAGGTAAAAAAAATTTTTTTTCTTGTCATTCCTTTACGTTTATTTATTATTTATTTAGTAAATATTTGCAATGTTAACTAACTTTTTTTACTTTGGTTATTTATTATTACACCTTTTAATCATTTTCCGTTGCTTCATCCTCGTCTGCGCTTGTCTCATTTACTAATATCGAATAATTAATTAATCTCGTGCTTCCCTGCTTATCATTAAATACCACTCAAATAACGTATTCACGTTATTTTAGAACAGGGTAAGTATCACTGCTTTTCTCGTTATCATTTCAAACAATTCATTACTAACATTTTACATTGTTTCATGTACGCTCGTATCAGCGCTTAATGTACGCATTTTGAATTTTTCCAAATAGCATCATTACTTTTTTAATGATTTTATCTAATCTTTATTATAACTTTAATAAGCGTCCTGTAATAGACAATACATCAGAATTTTGTCAAAAGATTGCTATACCATTTGACTATCTACCCAATTTTGAAGAACTCACTTCTGCACTTTTTCAGCCTTTTAACTTGAGAATTCCTCTTTCGACACCTCTATACCAAAAATGTGAAATAGCATGTCAAACCTTTTCTATTTCTGAGTATTTTATCGATAGAGAGATTTTTCAGAAAGTACATGTCAGTTCTGGGCCTATTTTGTTTCCAGAAGAAATATATCTTTCTTGTAATATAGCTTTGCAGGGTGTGGAAACAGGTTCTAGCGAATTTTCTCGAATATGTGATTGGGATCTTTTGCTTCGTAACCCTACAGCAATTTGTCGAAATCATTTTAAATC